TTCCACGCGAGCTTTGGTAAGTTAGCCCCAGGATCGCCGCTTCCATACTAATTGGTTGTGATATAGGCTTCTTCCTCCTCTTCATGGGTCTCCTGAGTCTGATCTACCTCATCTGCGCACTTCGGACAAACCTCGTCTTCGTGGCCATCTTCCTCGGACTGCTTCTTACTTTCGTTATCCTAACTGGCGCATACTGGCACACCGCATTGGGACACACAGAAATGGCAGAGCGATTGCAGGTTGCAGCCGGCGCCTTTGGGTTCCTCGCAACTTTGGCAGGCTGGTGGATCTTCTTTGCTCAAATGCTCGCTTCTGTCGACTTTCCATTCCAGATCCCCGTAGGAGACATTAGCCACTTGATCACTCCCTTGAGCGAGCGTGTCAAGCAGAAGGAACGTTACCCAGCTTGAACATTGTATTGGCGTTTTCTCCGTGCTAGTCCTGCGCGCGTTGTCAGCCCGAAAATGAGATGGACGGCGCGAAGAGCTTTGGTCTTGATGTTCGCAAACTAGTCGTGGCAGCGGCATAACTACAGCTTCGTGTTAATTCTGTCATTCAAAAGCATGTTTTCTAAACTGTACAGTTACAATGTCCGGTTCTGAAAATCAAACCTGTTGCGCATCATCTAACTATCTTGTCGTTCATCATCTCATATGAGGCTATCCATGCTGTGATAGGCTATCGCCTTTGCTCTGGGGACACAGATCATACTCATGCAGATGCACCTCTAGACTTGCCAGACCAAACACCGGCGAAGAAAGCGAAGGTTTCTTCGATGCGCATGGTTGCGTCGTGAGTCGTGACACAGGCCACACAGGGTTTGTAGTCTCTGCGGCTCTACCCCAAGTTTCGGCAATCGCAGCTTCGACAGCGCGTGCCGGTTATCGCCACTCATTGGCGCCTGTTTCCGAACGTCTCAGATATGCTGAGGTGCAATGTTTGGACCATCGCTGTCTGAGAAGTGAGACAGAAGGTGATTGACGTGGAATTAGACAGGGGCCCTGAGCCAAATGGGATCCCTCAGTCAAAGTGCACGGATTCCAATTCATACATAGTGAGGTGATGTTTGCCTGCCCTGATGCGGTTGCGGCGGACTGCCCACCTCCTCGGTTAATGTCATCAGCTATCATATGAGATTACAATTTTTGATTGACTGTGGATAATGCGCTATCGTTTTCTATCACATCAATTCGGCCTGCCTGCGTAGGACCTTGCCCGATTAGTGACTGCTTATCATCACTTCCAAGCATTGAGCTCTGACCAGGGATCAGCCTGCGTTTGGGTAGTGCTGCTTTGCCGAGGAGGCACATGGTGAGCGTAGGCGCCAGCGCCGGGTGGATAGGGATAACCAGGAATGCCAAATTTCCCTTGCGAAGCTGGTGGGGGCCCAGGTGGAGGAGGGGGTGGTACATAGCCATGAGGAAGGTACTGATTTTGCTGCGGCGGGTACTGTGGGTGACTTTGAGCCGGCTGAGAAGGAGGCGAAGACGCAGGCGATTGATATGGATACACCATCGGGTTATAGGGATCGGAAGAAGAAGGCAATGTATCCCTGGTGTTTAGATGCTGGTGACTGACATCTGGCGTGTGCTGCGCAAAACCCTGATAGGAAGCCGTAGACACTGGTGACTTCACGGATACATTGCCATTTCCGTAATTTGAAGCTTTCTTCGAGTAGAATGTTGACGATATGACTGGAGATTTGGAGGAGTATAAGTCTTTGGACTGCGATGGCCTTGACGATGGGCTCGGACGTGATAAGCTAGACTTTGTTGGTGACGAGGATGATGGATCGACCGACATTCGCTCCATGAGCTCGCGCAACCTATCTCGCTCTCGGTCCGCCTGGCTTCCAGCATTGCTTGCCTTCTCTTGTTCGATTCCATTGAGCAAATTTGCGCCCTCTGTACGGCGATTGTTGACATACTGCTCGATGTTCTTTTCGAGACTCTCTGCAGTTTGCTTTATCTCGGAGTAGAAGCTTTGCGCGCTCATCAGTCCCTGGACTAGGTCATTGAAAGCTTGAAATACTTTCTTGTACTTTGTCAGGACAGAGTTGCGTTGTCTAGTGAAGGCCTCATATTTTGCCTGTTCTGACTTGACCCGCTTGTCTTGAAGAAGGACACCGTAAGTCTTTGTCAATTCTTTCATCAACGCCGTCTGCTTGTGAGTTGCCTGCAGTAGCCTATTTTGATGAGGTCTATATTTCTCGAGCTCAGACTGGAAAAGCTGGTTCTCATGATTGGATATCGATTTTTTGTTCAGAATAAGTACGTTAGATATATCATCGTTATGGGCCTTCAAAGAACGTCAATTAGCCTTATTTGAGTCGAGGGATTCAAGGGATTCCAACCTTTTCCTTGAGGTCTTTGAGCACCTGTGTCCTGTCCCGTCTGATCAAGTCCAGCTTTCTTAACAGATCTTCAACTTTGGCAATCTGGTCCATGACGCTAAGACCCCCTTCGCCGAAATCGTCGTCAAGGAGGTTTCCTTCTCTGTTTGGTGTCATTGGACTACCAACACCATTCCTGCTCTTACCGCGATTTGCCCCTACACTGAGCAAAGCGCGCTGATACAGCACATCAGCCTCATCAAGTTCGCCAGCTGAGCGCATTTCGTCAAAATCCGATTCATATTGCCGCGAAGTATGAAGTAATTGCGAGTCGCTACCACTCGCTTCTTCGACCGCACCTCTATAGCTCATTATATCGCTGCGAAGCGTTGAGGTCAGCTTGGAGCTTGGCTGTTGCGTCCAATCTCCACCATATTTGGATCTCATTTTCTCACAGATACTTTCCTCCATGTCTAGTTGTTTGGTACATCTCTCCAGCGTACTCAATACGCTAGATCTTTCTCTTTGAAGTTGATCGAATGCGCTTCCGAAAGGCTCGTGGCCTGCGAGCTCCTCACACCAAGTCCGAAATCCCTCATCTAAACTCGTCTCCTGATCCATACCCCCCTTCAAAACGTTGAGACTTCCGGGGAGCTTCAGGTAATCAAGACTGGCGGCCATCTCTCCGTTGGCAGTCTCCACGTTTTCTGCCTCAGCACGGACTAACTTTGCTTTTTCTTCATCGTACAGACTTGCTGACTCGGTAACGGACATTGGGACGATCTTTTGAAAGATATCGGGGCCTATAATGCGTTGGATATCCTGTCCTTGGTATAGATCACTCACGGGTATTGCCTTTGCTGCTTGCAGTTTTGGTATTCCGCTTAAGGCAGCTTCCGCAGGCACTGTCTGGTGATAGATAAAGTCATTGTCCTTGTTGCAAATTGCTAACCTTTCCTGGACGTTCGCTAGATGCTTTTTGGTCATCTCTACGAGACTTGACCCGGTCTCTGAGCCAAGATTCGAGGCAGCGGACACTGTGGACGGAAATGAAATAGCGATTCGAGCCGCGTCCTTGCCTTCGGTTTCTGCAATCTGAAGTCGAGAGATAGCGATGCCATGAGAATTAGCGTCGTCATCGGCAAGTGCTTGGTAGTACTGAGCGATAGACGACAAGTAGTTTGCTTTCACTTGAGTAAGATGTAGCCAAAGCTTATCAAACACTCCCCGAGATACATTGTCTTGGACGCCCTCGGCAGCTTGGGCATACAGAGACGCTGCTTGGCTTGCAAGTTTAGCAAGCAGGCCAACCTTTCTTCCATCAGCTATTTGCTTCTCAAGGAATACCTCTTGACCTTGTGCCAGCATTATGGCAATCAGAGTCTTGACTGTCTCTCGACTCAGGTCTGTAGATGGCGCATGTAAGAAGTTCTCGTTGATGTAGGTAAACATCCCAGCAGCTGCCTGGAATGAGTGATATGCCGTTTTCTGCCCAGTCTCGTCGGAGCGATTTTGGTAGGCAGCATGACACGAGAGCACCGCAGAAATGTTGAATATGATGGATGCTTTTTCATACGCAAGTGAGTACTGAGCAGTAGGCTTATGCGTGAAGGCATCAAACCTAGAGAATCCCACGCTATCAGCAATTGTGTGTGGGTAAATGTTTGCGAGTCGTACAGCACATACCATGTAAACGAAATCTTGATGTGATTCTCATCGACCGGAAACCTAAGGTCTAGCAACTCCAGCTGACCGTAATAGCGATATAGAAGATCTCTTCCAGCTGTGCTATCTTTGCCTGCTCCTCGCATGTCTTGTCGCAATCTATTGAGGGTATTGCACTCCTCTGCATACCTCTCAGGGTCATCGCCGTACGTCTGCCTGATGTAATTTTTTAGGGGGTAAATCCAGTCTATTTCATTCGTCTGCTTTAGCGGGCTCGAGATCATCGGAGGCTGCAACATCTTGGAGAACTATGTGACCGCAGTTCTCACATACACATCGCCTGCCCAGCTTGAAACGATTGCTTCGAGGGACAGTTCATCAAGTAACGGCGGCAAATGTGTATTGGCTACGATGGAGACCCTCCAGTGTGCAAGGCTTGTTTTGTTCCATCCAAGTCTTTGGAACGGTATCGATTATGCGCAGTATGTGTATCATCGATGCGGAGTAAAAAGTGAAATTCAAGTTCTTCGAGCCAGGAGCCGTGTGGTACGGAGCATGAGTGCCGTCAGTATTGAGTCACAACTCACTCTGTACGATTCACAGGGTAGGTTTGATGCATATCAGTTTTCGTGGAAGCGCTTATGTGTGAGAGACTCGATTGCGGGATAAGTAACTCTAGAAATGTAATCACCAGTGTCGTCTGCTGAGAACCAATACATTGACAGCTCCGCTAGCGCACTCAGCGGAGCCGTTTCTTCCTTGCCAACGCCACAACATTATGCGCCCACAACATCCCGAAGCTTTTGTACCTGGACATTCGTAATAGAATCTTTGATCTTGTGCATGTGGAGGGTGTCTGGATCTAATGTACATCTCTAACCTGTGCAGAAATGCCTAACAAGAACCCTGAACGTGCGCCTACACCATCGCTATGTGCCAGAACATGCATACATCGTAGGATTAAGAAAGAAAAAAGAATTCGCAGGCTGTGAGCTACACTCAATCACCCCGATCCTGATCCCGATGCTTTCTTGGGCTCCTCTTCTTGAGCTTTGTTTGCGGCCTTTGAATCGCGAGCCGCTTCTTCTGGCGGTAGATTATCGTGCTGCTGTGTCAGCCTATTCCACGCAGCTTTCAGAAACCCTTCGTTCTTGTGGGACTCAGCAGATGCCGAGGATTTTGATGCATCTTTCGTAGTGGATGGCGGATCACTGTCGACAAGTCAGCCTGAATATGCTTATGCATAGACACGATTTAGTACTTAGCCCTCCCAACGTTCATCACTCGTTTGGCATTCTTATCCTCAAGCTCGTCTGCAAGCATCTCCAAAATCGTCCGCTGGTTCGATGTTAGATACTTAGGCATTGAGACCTTGTATTCCACACGTAAGTCTCCCAGTGCATTACGCCGCCCTCCAAGTCGAGGCATCCCCATTCCACTCAGAGTGATTTTGTCACCAGTTCCGGTACCGGTCGCTACCTTGAGCTTCACCTCTCCTTCCAATGTTGGGACACTGATTTCACCGCCAAGTACGGCCGTCGTGAGTGGGATGGATGCCGTATAGAGTACATCTGCGCCAGAGCGACTGAACTTCGAGTCCGCAGCGACCCTGATGAAAACATAAAGATCTCCTCTCGTAGACTGGGCGTTCGGATTCGCAGCTGTACCAGTAGGCGGAGTGTCGCCTTCTCCGGAGACTCGAATTCGCATGCCGTCTTCTACACCGCCCGGTACATCGATGTTGACTGTTTTCCGCTCTCTCACTACTCCGTTCCCACTGCAAGAGCCGCACTCTCCACCCTTTGGTATCATCACTCCCTGGCCACCACAAGTCTCGCAGGTGCTCGCCATTTGAAAGCCTGCTTGCATGAAATGTACCCGTGTCCCCGTCCCACCACACTTTTTGCAAGGCGATCGTGTTTGCCCCTTCTTCAACCCTGCACCAGAACATGTCCTGCACTGTACGAGAGGTGTGATGAGAATATCCTTACTCGTTCCCTTTGCTGCATCCATGAAGGATATGTTCGTCTGCACCTCAATGTTTTGTCCAACAAGGACTTCCTCTTGAAATGGGGACTGCCGTGAACCTCTGCCCCTTCGGCCTCCTCCTGTGAACGCGCCAAAAAGGTCCTCGAAATTGATGTCGGCTCCGAAACCCCCAGAAGAGAAGCCACCAAACCCACCAGAGCCAGCAGCCCCGCTTGGGTCAAATCCTGCACCCTGATCGAAAGCTGCAGCCCCATATTGATCCCAAGCCTCTTTCTTTTTCGGATCGGAAAGCATCTCGTAGGCTGTCTGAGATTCCGCGAAGCGGTCTTTTGCTCCTGCACCTTTGTTCGTGTCAGGGTGGTACTTTTTGGCCAAGGAGTAATACGCCTTCTTAATGTCAGATGACGATGCATTCTTGTCCACGCCTAGTACAGTATACGGGTTCTTAGTTGCGTTTCTGATAGAGCTTGCATGGAAGGACTAAGCGACGTCAGAACCGGTACACAGAGGATTATTTCATTTAAGGAATCACGGCCCTACCCTTTGACCGCAGGTGGTGAGTTGTGGCTTTCGCCTCGCCCGGGGAGAACATGCTGCATGACCTAGTGTACTGTATCTTATATCATAGAGCGTTCTTCTTGGTGCCTTTCGAATCGTACATTGTCTCTGGCAGGGCGTTGACGAGCGCAATGAATGTATATGGATTGCTGCCCTGGGAGACAAGCTTTGCGCGATGCCACTCATCCTACTCCAGACCACCTCGATAGGCCTGAGATTAGCGGCAACTGAAGTTGTCTTCGAAAACCAAAGTTGTCCAACAACGGTGTTCCGTATTGCAGCAGTAGCTGGTTTTTTTCTGAGTCTCGCTGTCGAAGAAAATATTTCACGGTCGGACCTTCATTTCCCCGATAGGAGCCAACTTATTTTGGTGAACGAGGGAAGTAATAATACTTCTCACACCAGCTCCACCAGCACTCTACGGGGCCCAGGCTCTCCGGTAAGATATTTAAAACAAGCATCTACATTTGAGAGTGGTCTCTGCGGCCCCCGCACACGGGATTTGACGCGCTCTGATATTTGACTCATAAAAGCAATAGCCATGATGTGCTGTACTTCCATGCAAGATAAACGTCAACTACCACCATAACTCGAGGTCCCCAAGAAGAGTGACTTGTTGAGCATTTCAATCGGTAGTGTTGACATTCCTCACCCCTTCTGCCCTATTTGGCCTGCGACGGCTCGAATCGCATACGGAAATTCTTGTCTGCGGAGACTGTTAACAACTTGGGGCATGAATTCCAGTAAGCGCTTGTAATGCTTACCCTGGTTTTGAACAACATACAAAAAAGAAGAGATGAGTTCCGACTCAAGGACTATGGCAGCGTTGAAGTCCTTCCTTACCGCGAGCGCCAGAACGGCTTTGCCAGTACGTCGGCGCGCACGATGCCGTGCCATTGTAGGTGAATGCTGTCCAATGCCCGGTCTTGTAAGCATCCTCTGGTTGTATGACGAAATAAAGGCTGGTGGAGTGTTGAGACGATGCACATGGCGGTAGGCATGTAGCACAGAAGTATCGAAAGTCTGCCAGTCGATCTAGTGGAGTCGAGATTAGTATAATGACTTGATCGCTAGCCATGCGCATGTTCTTACACTCACGGCGGCGTCCCCTTGCTGTCCACTTGTGGGTGTCTGGGCGTTAGTGACATCTTTTAGATTACTTCCTGCCAACGTCGATGTTCCATTTCGCCGTCCTTTTGAGATGCCTGTATAGGCGGGTTGTTTATCTCTTGTACTAGATGCTTCTGATCTGGAGTCGTCAAACCCATTGCGATTGCGCTGCGGAGGCATGATTGGGAATTTATGGATGGGCAAGGAGGTGATATGGGACGAGACTCGGGAGCTCAGCAACGGGCCGAGGGCGGAACGGAAGGCTACCTACATTTACGACTCAGAGACTTAACTAGGCTACGCAGCCAACCACCGTAACTGTAATTTTAAACACATTTCACAACAATTTCTGAGCGAAGTAACGCTCAAAGCAGATCCCGGTAGTCCGTTTTCCTCCATAAGTTGCACATGTGGGCACAAATCTGTGTGGTGACTGAAATGCTAAGACTGATATATTTCCGTTAGAGCTTAACGTCTTGCATACGTCTCGTGATATTCTGAAACATTTACATCGTAACAAATGGAAGTCATCCACCAGAAATACTCCTAGGGGTATCGTGAAGTGCGCTCGTTCTCAAAATGCTCCGTCCATCCCCTGAGTACTTTTCAACCAGATCCTCTCAGCATGTTTATGCAATTCCCAAGCAACTTTGCTGCCTCGTGCAACAACTCCCAACGGCATTTCTCAAACATGGCCTGGAGCACATATAGCATTCCGAGACAAGCATTCCGGTCCTTCATCTGTTCGAGTTCTCGAGGATCTTGAATCCCCCCCACTCTGGTTAGAAACGCTCTCATATCGTACGTTTGTTGCTCCAGAGTGTACAAGTTCGGTACGACTCGTACGGGGCCGTCCAAAGCATAACCGTACGACCAGACAATGAGGGCGGCAAAGTAGAGAACCCATGGCCGGTTGAGCAGAAAATCGTCCCTGGCGGAATATGGTGAGAGGTTCTCCTTGCTCATCAGAGCCGGGTTGCGGTGCGAGCTCGCGGTATCGGGCATCAGCACCTGGGCCAGAAACTTCAGGGCATAGAACGTCGCGTGTCGCGCACTTGGTCTTGGAGCCCAGTTTTCTTTTATCCGCTTCTGTGCTATTGCGTAATCCGACGGTAGAGTTGTCCGACCGAGTAGCCGGCCAGCCTTTGCAAAGATCTGGCAGCTTACGACGTCAACATGCATTGCCATGTGGGCAAGATGGTGCAAGACAGTGCGGCTCTCGAAGATATTCTCCTCGTCAAGCCTACCGGATGGGTAAGCGGCAGACGCTGGTAGCGTATCCTTCCCAATACTCTGATCGAAATCGTTTTTCCAAGAATCAAAAGCTTTGGTCAAAGGTCCGCGCCAAATGTCCTTGCCTCCTAACGCTTTCAAGGCGCCGAGGTGATGGACTTGCACATCACGTTGATTCATGTGCCAGCTCACGCTCAACAACCCAGCCATGATGGCTGTGCGTCCGAACGAATTTGTTCGCACAGGCTTGTTTTTCAAGGTGTTTTTTAGCCCATCAAAGAAAGTCATAGGCTTGATACCGTTTGACCGGAGATTGGTTTCGATACGCCCAACCTCGGCACTGCTGGTGGCAGACCACAATGTCTCATCGCAAGGAAGCTGCAGCTTCATTTCATGAGCAACCATGGTCGCCGAATGTCCAAACATGGTGGCATGGATGGAGTCGATGATGAAAGCGGCAAAGGCCACCCTCCGAGTCGCCTCATTAGTGACCCAATGATTCCACCATTGCTCGGGTGTATGTGAGGTCGAAGCCTGGGTACTGCTTGAGGCTAAGCCAGGACCATCGTCTTTGACCATTGGTGGTGAATCGAGCGCTGACCGACCTATAAGAGAGCTTCCCCGTCTCATCAGGGTGAGGGTGGTTCCATGGTGAATGTGCGCACGTTCATGGAGCACGCGCGTGGAATACATTTTCTCATACACCTCCAGGAGCAGCAGAGTCTGGAAAACCCACAGCTTTGCAGGCGGTAAAAAATCCACATGCTTGAAGATCTCCCCCCGCAAATGCCATGCTAGAAAGTTGGAGAGCTCTGCCCCGGCCTGAGTAACGTCGGGGCCGTGCATTTTGTCAAGACAGGACGCACCGATTGCGATGACCGCAAGTAGCAACACGTTTTGAGTCTTGTCCGCGGAGAAAGTTGGCTTATGCAGGATTGGCATTTGCGGGTGAAAATGGTACCAGTAAGATCCAATGTAAGTCTGCATGGAGCGTAGGCTTAGAACATGACCATCGAGGTCACGATCACCGTCAAGGAAAGCATCCGTCTGCTTCTTAACCGGCGCATGATCTGTGAATCGCATCTCAATAAGATCCAGTATATCTTTCCGTTTCTCTTCCGAAAGAACTATTTGCGGCAAGGCTGGGTCCAGAATACTTGTCACTGCCATGAGATTTTGTTGCGGGATGGCTTGACCCACGGGACCATTCAAAGAGTCGTTGATCGTGCCATATGTCCCACGAGATGTACTGCCAGAGTCATCCATAAAAGCAGTAGTCCCAACGGACATCGAGCCGTGCCGAGGACCCCCGGGCGATGAGATATTCTGATGCGGCTCGTTGAATAGCCAGGCTGTGAAGTCGTCGGCCATTGCAAAAGGGGAGCGACTGTAGCCATCTCCGCCAAAAAGAGGCATCGAAAATGGGTTTCCATTCTGATCCAAGAAGTTCGGATCGAGGCCATACCCTCCGTACATTTCAAAACTTGTGGCAGTATCCACCGGTGTTAGTGGAGTGGAGACAGTCGAGTAAGCTCCCGACGGTGGTCCTTGCGCGGACATTTGGGACATCGGAGACATTACAGGTGGGGGCAAGGGCGGGAGTGAGGGGAAATTCTGATGTGATAGGTATGTACCGCCACCAACGTTATTCTGCATCTGAGACTGGGCCATGGGAGTAGTAGCGGAGTGGCCATTGTAGGTGGAAGTTGGAGAGGGCCGGTAATTTGCAGGATTCGTCGTTATGTGGGTATTGGGCCGAGAGATGCGTGAGTCTGGATACATATTTTTCTGAGGCAATGTCGATTTGTACGAACCAAAGCTTGAATGCCTCTGGCTTGAATCGTACGTTGGGCCAGACGCATTGCGTAGCACCCGTGAATCATATCCTCCAGCCGCATCAGCGTAGTAGTGGTCATCACTATTCGACCTTTGCAAAGACGACATTTTGGGATTATATTCTGAGCTTGCAACGGTGTCCAGAGAGTGTGGCGATTTCAAATCGCTACCAGGTGGGCTGGTACTGCTCGAGTTTGGTTGGTAAGACTCTGTGATTCTTCCTGGCAACGGAGATTGAGGAGGCATGGTATGGATCTCATGAGCTTTGATGAATGATGGAGGAGCAGTTGAAAGATTATTCGTGGGTGGTGCATGAGGACCCGCAGACGGCCCGTACTTTGAATCTGGATGATCTCGTGGGCCATCGACACCTATAGCTTGCGCATTTCGATCGTCACGATCATGTGAATTGTTTTCTTTCCGTTGAAGATGCGAGCCACGTGCTGTGTGCCTCTCACGATGCCTAGTGCACAGGTCTTGCCGGACGAATTTACGCTCGCATCCAGGAAAATCGCAGGTATAAATCTTTTTCGGTGTGTCTGTATTTCAGTCAGCAATTGCACACAATCAGTAGCAGAGGCGATAACTCACGATTCAGCTGATGACGGTACAGGTGTTCCGCTCTGGAATAGCTTTTGCCGCAGCCTTGGTGTGGGCATGGGAAATTTTTCTCCAGGCCCTTCCTGCTCCTCTTTCTTTTTCGAGGCTTTCCACCGGCATCTTCACCTTCATTTTCTTTCTCCTCGCCACTATCATCCTCCGCTTTAGCAGTGGTGCTCCGATCTTGCCGTCGACCTCTTGCTGCCTCATTGTCGTGTGGAGAAGCATCAGATAAGGAGGAAGGCGGACTGTGAT